ATAAATATACATACATACATTATATATATATATATATATATATATATATATATATATATATATATATATATATATATATATATATATATATATATATATATATGTATATATATACATAGTCAACAGACTCAGTGAAGGGAATCAGGAAGGCTTCCCTGTCGATCAAATTTCCCGCCGCAAAATCATGAATTCTCTTGGAACGTGAAATCAGTTTTCAAAAAACTCATTAAACGGTTTTCTAAAATCTATTTCACGCCCCAAAAACACGATGACGGAGAGAGGCTCGTGGTGTTTTCTTGGATGTTGCAATATTGATATTTAAGGTGTTGGGGATGTTTCACGCCTGCTGAGTGTATAGATATATATGTTGATATCTATCTATCTATCTATCTATCTATATGTATATAATTGCATATCTATATTCATCTCTCTCTTTTCATTTCTTCCCTCGCTCGTCTCTATCTGTCTGTCTCCCTCTCCCCATGTCTGTCTGTCTCTCTGTCTCTTTCTGTCTCTCTCCCTCTGTCCCTCTCTCTCTCTCTCTCCCTCTCTCCCTATCTCCTTCTCTCCATCTCCCCCTCTCTCTCCCTTTCCCTCTCTCCGTTTCTGTCTCCCTCCCCCCTGCCTCTCTCTCTCTCTGTCTCTGTCTCTCTGTCTCTCTGTCTCTCTGTCTGTCTGTCTGTCTGTCTGTCTCTCTCTCTCTCTCTAGCTCCCCACCTCCTTCTCCCTCTCCCCCCCTCTCTCTCATCCACCCCCACCCTCTCCCTACCACCACCCCTGATCCTCGCTAAACGCCCCCGTCCTCTCTCTCCCTCCCCCATTACATCCATTAAACGTCCCCTTCCTCTCCCTCTTAACTAAGTTTCTTCCTCTAGAACTCACCAAGGAGCCTTCCGGAGTCTCCAGGACGTTGATGCTATAGGCTCGAGTCGTATCTTCTCCTCCTTCTTCCCAGCTGTTCCTCTCCACCTCGACGCTTCTCCATTTATTCACGAAGAGTTCGGTGTTCCTCATGTAGTGGTAGCAGAGGGCGCATGTGTCCGCCTCAAATAGGTCCGGTGGGAGGAGCTTCGTCTGGAATGAGTGTGTGTGTGGGAAACGGAGGGCTTTGGATGAGGAGATTATAGAAAACGGGGGGGGGGGTCGGATGAGGGGTTTATAGAAAACGGGGGGTTTTGGATGAGGGGATTATAGAAAACAGGGGGGTTTGGGTGAGGGGCTTATAGAAAACGGAGGATTGGTTATGGGAAGACTGGGATATTTTTTTTTATTGTGGAAGGCATTCAGGAAACATATTGAGATATGACACTGTATTCATTTGGTTGACTGAGGTAAATCTTCTGGTAGATATTAGTCAGTAGAGATATTTAGGGTGTAATGGATTTGAATTGTAATAAAATTTGGAAAATAGTTGAATGATTAATTTGGTTGAAGCAAACGAAGACAGATGAAGAGATTAAAATAAAAACAGAATAACAGAAAGAGGCAAGTCAGCTGACAAGAAAACAGATAAATAATTAAACGCTGTAAAACGACAAAGTAATAGAGGAGATAATGAAAAAAAAGAAAAAAAAAATCCTGGAAAAAAAAATCCTGGAATTAAATCAAATTAAACCAAATAGATTTCTAGAGGGACGTGAAAGGTAAAAAAGAAAAAAAAAGAAAAAAGAAAAGGAGGGAAAAGACAAAAGACAAAACAAATTAAATACACATCAGAATTCAACCCTTTATTGACTAAATCATTGTCATTTTGGTGAAGTTAATATCTGTTCTTCCTGCATTTATTGATTATGCAAATGAGCCAGGAGCGTGCAATGTATTCGTTAATTCATGTTCGCGTCGCGTTTATTGATGATTATTTACAATACTGATCGTTTGAAATTGCGATTTTTTTTTTTTTTTTTTTTTTTTTAATTTTTTTTTTTTAATGAAACTTGACATTCAGGAATTTAATCACAGGCTTAGAATCACTCACCCTCGACCTACACAGCTTCTGACCTTCTTCTTCTTCAAGGTCAATCTCGCTACGTGTGACCCTCAGGTTCTCACTAAGGTCACGCTCGGTCTCCTCCGCCACATCCTTCTCAATTAATTCCATTCCCTCGTTTATCTCCTCTCCCTCTTCTCCTCCTTCACTTCCCTCTCTTCCTCCTCTTTCATCATCGGTGTCTCTTCCTCTCCTCCTACTCCTCTTGACCTGTGACCTTTGACCTCCGACGACCTGGTTCTCGAGGGAGAGGTCGTCGTCACTGGAGGTCGAGGCCGACGTGGCTCGAGGTCGCCCTCGAAGAAAACCTCGGCATTTATCGCCGTCCTTCTCCTCGCCTTCCTTCTGATCCTCAAGGGGAAGGAGAGGACAAGGGTCGTCCTCGATGAAGATCCTCGAGGACCCACGATCTGCCGAGTCGAAGTCGAGGTCGTCCTTCAAGTCGTTGCTTCTGGACGGCGGGGACGACACTCGCCTCTCTCGAGCGTGACATGGTGGCGAGACGAGGAACACCTGAGGAGAGACGAAAAGGGAAATTATTAGAGAAGAAGGAGAAAAATGGATGTAAAGAGAGAAAGAGAAGAAAAAAAAGTAAAATAAGAAAAAAAATAAGTAAATAAAGAAACTGAAAAAAAGGAGAAAGGAAAAACATACAAAAAGCCCCCACACCAAAAAAAAAACTAAAAAAAAAAAAAAAACTAAACAAAAATATATAAAACAAACACTAAAAGAAAGAAACAAACAAACAAACAAAAAAAAAAAAGAAAAAGGAAAAAAAAAACTGCCAAAAAAGAGAAAAAAAGGAAAACAAAATCAAATGAAAAAAAAAAAAATCCCCATGAAAAGAAGAAAGAAAGAAATTCTAAAAAAAAACGAAAAACACGAAAACGAAACGAAAGCCGCGCAAGAGAAAAAGAAAAAAGAGAGAGAGAGAGAGAGAGAGAGAAAAAAAAACGTCTCGGCAACTCAATAACCTCAGTTTGGCATCCTGACCATAAAGACAAAGACAAAAAATTGAAGAAAATTGACAAAGACAAAATGTTTTGAAATAAACAGACAAAAAAATATATAAAAAATACCCCCTCCCCCCCAAAAAAAAACAGACATAAAAACAATAAACTGAAAAAAAACCACCCGAAAAACACGAAAGCCACACAAGAAAGAAAGAAAAAAAGAAAAAAGAAAAGAAAAAAGCTTCCGGAATAAAAGTCTGGGCGACTCAATAACCTCAGCTTGGCATCCTGATCATAAATACAAAGACGAAAAGAACAAAAAACAGACAAAAAAAAAAAAAAAAAAATCACCAAGAAAGAAAGAAAGAAATTCTAAAAACCCCGAAAAACACGAAAGACGAAACGAAAGCGCACAAGAAAGAAAAAAATGAAAAGAAAAGAAAAGAAAAAAAAAGCTTCCGGAATAAAAGTCTGGGCGACTCAATAACCTCAGCTTGGCATCCTGATCATAAATACAAAGACAAAAAGACAAAAAAAAAAAAAAAAAAAAAAATCAGACAAAAACCTCAATAAGAAAAATCACCAAGAAAGAAAGAAAGAAATTCTAAAAAAACCGAAAAGCACGAAAGACGAAACGAAAGCCACGCAAGAAAGAAAGAAAGAAAAAAAAAAAAACGAAAAAAAAAGAAAAAAAGGAAAAAGAAAAAAAGCTTCCGGAATAAAAGTCTGGGCGACTCAATAACCTCAGCTTGGCATCCTGATCATAAATACAAAGACAAAAAGACGAAAAAAAAGACAAAAAATCACCAAGAAAGAAAGAAAGAAAAGCACGAAAGACGAAACGAAAGCCACGCAAGAAAGAAAGAAAAAAAAAAACGAAAAGAAAAGAAAAGAAAGGAAAAAGAAAAAAGCTTCCGGAATAAAAGTCTGAGCGACTCAATAACCTCAGCTTGGCATCCTGATTATGTCCTGAGACGAACACAAAGGGAATCATGGCCCTGAGCGGTAAGTAAAACAGGAGGCTTATTGCGAATGTCAGGAGAAGGAGGAGGAGGAAGGAGAGAGGAGGAGGAAGGAGAGAGGAGGAGGAGGAAGGAGAGAGGAGGAGGAGGAAGGAGAGAGGAGGAGAAGGAGGAGAAGGAGGAGGAGGAAGGAGAGAGGAGGAGAAGGAGGAGAAGGAGGAGGAGGAAGGAGAGAGGAGGAGAAGGAGGAGGAGGAAGGAGGGAGGAGGAGAAAGGAGGAGGAGAGAGGAGGTAGGAGGAGAAAGGAGGAGGAGAGAGGAGGGAGGAGGATGAATAGGTGGATGGAAAAGTTGTGGATAGATGGGTGGAGAGAGAGGTTGAGAGGTAAGTGAGGAGAGAGGGAGGGAGATAGAGTGATAGAAGGGGGGGTGGAAGAGAGAGAAAGAGAGATTTGATAAATTTATTGCCTCCAGTGGACGATAAACAATTTTGCAGAGAAGTACAAAAGGCGTATGACCGTGTCTCGTAGGGCATGTTGTGAACTATATATACACACATATTTATATGAAATTTGCATACTCACATTCTCACTCGCATTCACACACACACACACACACACACACACACACACACACACACACACACACACACACACACACACACACACACACACACACACACGCACGCGCGCACGCACGCACACGCGCACAAAAGCATATTAAAAGGCAAAAAGGAAAAAAAGAAAAAAGAAGAGAACTGTTAAAGGAAAAAAGGAAAAAAAGAAGAAAACTGTTAAAGGAAAAAAAAGAAAGAAGGAAACTGTTAAAGGAAAAAAAAGAAAAACATACAGAAAGATGAAATTACATACAAAAAGAGAAAAAAGAAACCAAGACAAATCTAAAAATCGAGAAACAACGGAGGAAGAAACTCCCAGAGAGAGAGAAAAAGGAGCTAGTAAAAGAGAGAGAGAGAGAGAGAGAGAGAGTAAGAATCAAAGAGAAAAAAAGGAAAGAAAAGAGGATTGCAAGAGGGAAAAGAAAGCTAAATAAAAGCCGGCATGAGATATAAGACAATCCGCTTTAATGCATAAGATTTGCT